TCTGTCAGTCATCGTCTCGGTCCAACCCTAATTCATAGATTTTTTTTTTTCTTCCAGTCTATCTCAATAAAATGCTAAAATGTGAATTGTACAATAAGAGTTATTGGTGCTTTCAGTTTGTGGGGGCCAACGATTAAGCAGTGCATGACTTGCAACCTGTCTTTTGAAATTATCCTCGTAATTGGATTGTTATTTTGCAGAGATGAACCAAATAATTTCTGACACGCCTGTGGCTCCCCTCACTGTGGTCACTGACGACGCCCCTGCTGCGGTCCGCTTCAACCCTGAGAGCGTTTCTGTTCTGGTCGAAGAGGAATTTGTGAGTGACTATCCAAATAAACTAATTTACACATTCACCTTTGTTCAGAAAATTATAATGTCTTGATGATAGCAAACCACTGAAGCTGTGCCTAAAAGTACTTGTTGAAAGAAGTTTGAATGCACTCATGTACATAAACGGTTTGTTTCTGTGAAATATAGAAATGGTAGGAGATCTTACAAGTTTTGTTAATGATTGTTCAATAAAGAAAACTTGACTTGTAGTAATGGAGTTGTACTTGTAGTTTTGAGAATTACTGAGCATTTGGGTTTACAGGTTAAAAGATGGCCAAAAGTGTGTCTTTGTAATTGCTAATTTGTTTTTGTATGTTTTTTCTTTTTAATTAAACGTTTTTCTTTCTTTCAAATGTTGTTTATGTTTCAATCTGTCCTAAAAAGACGTGGGAAAAAAATATTGACTTGTACTTTTGATTTGATGTGTTTTCTTTTAAAGTTAGTAGTACTCAATGTAATTTAGGCAATCCGTTGCCACAAATATTATAACATATAAAGTTCTGGGCTAAATTATTTGAGTATGAGAAAGTCCATGTTTTTGAGTTAGTAGTAATTGAAAATATCAAACAAGAAACTAATAAATATTGAGTTTATTGAACATGAAACACTGGGTTTCATACTTAAAATGATAAATTTTTGTCAAATGAATATTTTAGAGTTGCGTTAACTATAAATATTTGAGTTATGTCAATCAGTAATTTTATCCAACAGTAATCAAAAAGTATATGTTATCCAAACTCTGGAATCTATTATCCTAAAGAAGGTAGGAGCTGGAGTGAAAAGATGAAAGGAGGCCAATTCAACATTTATGATTTTAAATAGAACTACCATTTTTCTCCATAATTTAATATGCAGCATATTATGATAAAATTATCATCATATAATGCTGTAAATAAACATGTGAAAAGAAAGAAGCTTTTGCTTAAACACATTTCTTAAAATGATGCCTCTTTTTATCGTAACTCTAAACAAAAATGCCTAACTCAATTCTCACTTCTCACACCCGACACATTGTGTTCAGGCAAATAAAGCTCTCCACTCAAAACCATTCAATCTTGCTGATAAACTGAACTTTGACCTCAGACATGACACAAGCCCCCCAAAACAAAAACATGACAATACAGTCTTAAACACTGGTGAGATTAAGTTAAAAAAAATACTTCAAAAACTGGTTAAAAGTAATGTAGCTTGTGGTTCTCCACCTGAAAAACCTTTTCACATGATGAACATAACAAAAGAAACAACAAATATATCAAATATGGGGGTGCGCTGGGTGCTTTTTGCCCTTTGATGCCCAAAGTGCCCTTTTATCAATACAAAATTTCCTTATTTTTACATTTGTATAGGCCTTTTTGTAAAGGCCTGCCCAATCAGACTAGTAGTAAAATTAATGAATAATAATTTCGCAGTAAATAAAATGACCCACATTCCCGTTCAGACACTGTTAATGATTCAACAGCTGTGACTACAGGACACCTTCGATACTGCCAGTAAGAAGGGTTTACCGCAATGTGCTCATTGTGGGGGTTGTTGGATGTATTTTACAAGAAAGACGCAAAAAGAGCATGCACAGTTGTGTATATTGCTGTTTGTCTCCTGTAGAAGTAACGTTAGCTGCCGGCTAACACTATGCTGACAGCTAATGATACTTCTACACACATAAACAAAGGTGCTCTGTTCACTTTGTTCTTGCTGAGGGGGAAAAGTTTCACGGGCGTCGAGAGGTCTGCTCTTTTATGTGATTTGACTAAAAACTTTTCACTTGAACTAGGATTATTACAGGAGCCTAATAATAAAACCAAGTGGTAAAACAGGCTTGTAGCCTACTGATACTCTCTGGACGGCCCTGTTTGTTTTTATGATTACAGTTTAAATTGAGCTATTCTTTACACAACAAACGTTTTTATATTTGAAATGCTATTTTGTGAGTTGGGGGAGTTTTGTTTGAGCCATCTATGACCATAAAGAGGTCTGATGCTGATCTGTGTCTTCATATTTCCTTCCTAATGTGGACATTGCTTAAACCGCTGCGTGTGTGTTTGTGTTTCATGTTTTTAGATCCCGGTGGGGACTGTAACTCATGGGGACTCGTGTCACAGTGGGGAGAAGACTTGCGGTATCCACGGGTAGAGACTGTTGTTTGTGGGTTGGGTCTTGGTTTTATGGTTCAGGTTAAAATTACGTTGGTTAGGTTAATGCCAAGGTTAGGGTAAGTCACTAGGGAATGCATTATGTCACTGAGATGTCGTCACAAGAATATGTAGGAACAAACAAGTGTGTGTGTGTGTGTGCGTCCTCAGTGAAGTGTATCAGTCTCTGCAGTAGCTTCCAGCTGCAGCAGTCAGTTCAGTTTCTGTTCAGTCTGACTGAGGGAGGTTTTTGTACAACGCTTTTTCACTGTGTGAACACATGCTGACTGTTGATATAGTGTTGACTCATACAGTAGTAAACTGCTGCATCTTCAGTCTGGACTCCACTGATGGTCAGAGTGAAGTCAGAGTTTGATCCCCTGCCTGTAAAACGACCTGGAATCCCTGATGCTCGAGCGCTAGCCTCGTAAATGAGGAGTTTAGGAGTTTCTCCATCTCTCTGTTGGTACCAGGCTAAACGGTGGTTGTTGTTCCAAACATAAACATCCTGACTGGTCCTACATCTGATGGAGACGGAGCCTCCCAGAGCAGAGCTCACTGCTCCAGGCTGAGTCACTGTGACCTGGCCTCTGGACTCTGAGGATACAGAGACAAAAACATAAAGCAGCGTCATGGTTTTGTGGGCTTCATTTCAGAGGGACGGATGTTCATAGAGGAAAGGAGTTTGATTCTCTGGACTTTACCTGTGAAGCAGCAGCAGAGGAGAGTCCAGATGAGGACGCAGATCAAAGTCATGTTTTTGATGAGGAGGATTTCTGTGGCTTCTGTTGTCATGAAGGACAGCTGTCAGTCATCCAGTGTTCAACTCTCAGGACTATAAACTCTCCCAGAGCACTGGAGCATGGTGCTGCTGATGCAAAGTGGCTCTCTATGGAAATGCTCTGACTCCAGCAGGGACTTACTCTGATGATGCTGTTGTCAATTTAGTATTCAGTTGTTTTAAAACCTATTTTACATGATTTTTGGTTTCATCCTTCTAGATATATTGTTTCAAAATTCCCTCTGTCTTATTTAAATTCATTTTAATTTAATTAAATAAAAACATGTGACATCTTGATGTCACATTTCCTATAAGGCTGGTTAAAAGTTAAAATTATTAAACATGAATGCATCAGAGGAACAAACTGTCAGTTTTAACTTAACTTTATTTTTAGTACTTAAACTGTCTGTTGTCATGGTTCAGCAGAGATGCCTGCATGTTACCATGGTTTCAGGGCTCAGAGAAGGGGAAACTTAACACTTAATTTTCATATGTATAAATGTCTTTTAATCTTTAACTCTTTGTTTGTAATATGCTGACGATTTACTGTGTGTTGTTATTGTTGATCAATAAGCATCAGATAAAAAAGCTTCCATCCAAACATATTGTCTCTAAATTTGTTTTCACTGGGAGGAGAGCAGGAGCCCCGGGTTGCTGGAGAAGGACGACTGCTACAGCTGGAGCAGCACCCTGTCACACAGGTTGGGTACTACCTCTTCCAATCACACGCATTCGCTTGCCCACTGAAATTTTTAGCGTGCACGAAGCCGACCAATAGGACGTCGCTACCAATACTTAATTGACATATACATAGCAGTGTCCCTACTGCCTCAGCATCCTTTTTTCTTCAGCATACGGTGAACTGCATACTGAATTCACCAACTCCAAGAATGGAGCCGCCATTTTAAATTCATCTTTGCACCCAGACGAATCCAGGCCACCCGTCAGCCGACCTGCAGCTGGTGAAGAGAGCAACTGGCCAAGTAACCGGTTATGGAGGGAGAGAGGCCGGCAGACGCTGCCACATCCCCCTGTCTCGTGTTCAAGAACCATTGTTTTACATGTGTTGCTTGTGTACACTATGGTAAGGCTTTTGAGAATGTGGAAACCGTTTTTACTACGCTAAGTTAACGGCTCACCCCGCGGCCCCCACCGCTCTCCCGGCCAGAATCAAGTGAGGCGGAGGGTGAGGCCCGGGAGTCCACCCTGCTAGCCTGTTTGCCCGGTCTGCGCTGCTATAATGGTCTGCTTCCACAACGTGACAAGAAATGAGCTGCTCTTACCGTGGAAACGGCACAGTGCGGCAGTCTACTGTAACTCTGCATTTCCAGCGCGCTCATGAGGACTCTCATGGGCAGTGAAAGCGTATTACATCACACCACCCTGCCAACATCTCTTTGGCCGAGCGGTCAGTTAGGCTATTCATAGACAGTGTATTACTGGACGAAGCCACCCGCTGATTTTAATGGAGAGCAGTGAAGCCACTTTTGGACCAATAAAATACTACTACAGGGCTACTTCCTGTTGGCAGCAGCGCATGATCACGCAGCATAACCGTGGTTAAATGACGTAGAACAACGGCAGAAACGGAGTGGACTTCCTGGCTGCCGAGATCCATCAACTTATGCTGAAGCAGGCTGTCTTATGGCATCCCTGCACATGACATGCACAGAGGTCTTACTCCATATACTATATGGTCTCTAGAAAGACGAGAGGCTTCTGAGCCACCCTGGATCTCCACCACTTGAACCAGCACAATGGACAAAAGCTGTTTCCACATGCTGACGATCAAGAAACTGCTGGAGCTGCTACAGCCCGGAAACTGGTTCACCGCCATCGACCTGAAAGACGCCTATTTCATGTTGAGGTGACACAGTAACAGGGAGTTTGTTAGCTTTGCCTCTCATGGAGTAGCCTATGAATACAACAGACTCCCCGTCAACTACTCGCTAGCCCGCCACACGCTCAGGAGATTGCATGGACACTGCACTGCAATCATTACGCGAGCAGGGCTTGAGGGTTCTTTTCTACTTAGACAACCTCATGGTCATGGAGAGATTGAAACTTTGGGTGATCTCCACACAGCACAGCCTGGGGTTTGCGATCAATTGGGAAGAGAGCTCTCTCCAGCTGTTGCAGCAAGTGGAGTATCTGAGGATTGTGCTCAACGCCACCACCCTGAGAGCGTATCTGTTGGGACAGGCAACGCTTCTTGTTGTGGTCCACAGGCTGCAGCAGGGGACAGCTGTGACAGGCTATCAGTGATGATGCTGTTGGGCCTCAGGGCAGTAGTCCATCAAGTGGTCCCTCTGGGCAATGGGGGTGTTGCTTGGCAGGGTGTCTTCATCTGTGTCAGTCTTCATAGATGAATCTCTGACCGGATGGGGAGGGACCTGCCAGGGGAGAGCAGTGAGTGTTGTGTGAACCCCCGTTAAGAGCCGAGGGGGCCACACACCATACATCCACAATCCCCTCCAGGTTGTGTTTCTAGTGTAGTGGTGTGCTTCCAAGTCCAATCCACGGCTCTGTTGGCGATGGCGGTGAATCTGGGCTTGCTTCGGGAGAACGGAGATGGATCTGTTTTTCCAACCGGCACAACACCCACTACCCGCTGTCGTTTTTTGATTCAGCCAGCCCACCCCTGGGGGTGGCCAGGAGGCCCCCTCCAGCACCATCTCATCCCTTCAGTTAGGTGAGGGGGGAATGGTGGTTCATCATTCTGGTAGAAGTGATGCAGCCAGACAGTGACAGAGCCCTGGCCTGTACCTCTGGTCTGGGGGGGCTCTGTCACATGGGTGAGGCATCTTAGGCGCAATGTTGGTGTTGGACCAGCTTCTCTAGGTTTGGCTCCTGAATGGGAGAGGGAGACACAGGCTGGTCTATGTCGTATAGACCATCCAAGTGGCGGGCAATCTCCATCACTTGTTGCTGCAAAGCTAAGTGGTTGGGCTTTCAGAGCAGATGCATTGAGATGGAGACGGGTCTGTCTACCTGTTTGGAGGGATCCGTTTTCTCTTTCCTGCAAGGTCTGATGGAGAAGGGGCTGTCGCACTCAACCATCAAGGTGTACACAGCAGCTATCTCTCCTGTCACAAGGGGTTTGGTGACAGAACAGTCTTCACCCACCCCGTTGTGATACGCTTTCTGCAGGGTGTGAGAAGACAGCGGACGTTGTCGTGTCTCTCAGCGCCTCAGTAGAACTTGCTGGTTGTGCTGGAGGCTCTAAGGTCTGCACCTTATGAGCTCCTGGAGTAGTCCTCATTAAAATCAAGGCCGGCCCGTGGCATAGGCGACAGAGGCAGTTGTCTAGGGCGCAAAATGTCAGGGGGCAAATGTCAAGAGAAAGTTTTCGACTCCACCCAGCTGATGCGACACCGGTGATTTTAATCATGTGCCCCTCACATTGTAAGTCCAGACAGTAACGTAACTGGTAGAGTTTTGCAATATAAACATCTTAAAACTGAAGCATACCCTTGTTATGTTTGGGACTGTGAGCTACACTTTATCAGAGTTGCTGAAATTAACATGTGAACCTGTTGGTTTCGGTTTCACATGCAGCATGCAGTCTCAAGTTGGCTTTAACAGTCCCTTAACAGTCTTAAGGGGCCTATATACCAGCGGAGCAATAACGTAATGTACAGCAGATTATAAGACACGTAGAATTAAAAATATTTAAATTCTCATTAAATGATTATGTTAGTCTCGTAGTATTGCTTTTTCTTCTAGACATGTCAGAGAAAATGATATGTGGAGAGATCCTGAATGAGTAGAGAGTTTTGAACATGAGTAGTACTCCTGCCGAAACACAGAAGCTATTAAAGTCCAAGAATTTATAACTGAATTAAAATTAATTGATTTATCATTGAGGTGAAAAGGTCCCACGTATTTAAAGAGGTTATTTTCCAAAACAGAGACTCAAAAGAGTAGGGGAGGCTAAGCATGTGGACTCAGCAGGGATTTTAGATAAGTTGATCTATAGGATAAAACATATTTAAAGCAATAGCTGCAGAATTCCTGAAAGCCTTACTGCATTATATTCTATAAAATTTCAATATTTTGAATTGTCATCTGCAGCCTGGATATTGTGTTTCCCTAATAAACCATAAATTGGTGCAGATTTTGTTTTGCAGGGAAAGTCCTTAATACTTAAAATTTCGTGGGGATGGCCCTCCTGTTCATTTGTCCACTGTTGAAACTCAACCAATGCTCTTGCATTTCAGGAAAATTACCTCATAAATAAACAGAATTTCCCCGCTGGGGAAAATGCTATCTCTCAAACAGCCTTGCTGCTAGCTCTCACCTCTGCTAAGAAGGCGAGTGCGCCCTGTCGGTTCACCCCAGAAGCATGCTGCTTCATGGTGACCACAGTGCAGCCGGATTGATACAAAACCCCTCCTTTGTTCTTAAGAACATAAGGAGCATGTTCAGGTCCAGGACAATAAATCTGGATGCCTTCCACCACCCTACCCCACTTAGGGTACAGGGAGGGGAGATTGCATCTGCTGTGTCCAGTGTGTGTTCTAACGTCTTATGTAGAGCACACTGCCACCATTTGACACACTAGTCAGCTGTTTGTCGGTAAAACCTGTGTGAGATAGAACGAAGGTTACGATATGGTAACCCTAGTTCTATAAGCACAGGCAGAGTCCTCCACTGATGAGCCCAGCCACTCCTACACCGTCTGCTGCAGAGGCGGGTGGATCCTGAGGCAGTAGGGGCATTGCTTTTTGTATGTCACAGACGTATCAGTAGTGACGTCCTATTGGTCGGCTACATGCACAATAGAAATTTCAGTGGGCAAGAGCGTGCATGTGATTGGAGGTGGTAGTGTTGTGGTGGCAGCCCGGCTGACGGTGAGTGCCCTGTTTATTTCTCCTTTTTTCTTGTGATTCTGTTTTCCCCTTGTGTTTTGGCCTGCCTGTCTGTGTCTCCTCTGCTTTTACATCTGTTGGGTTTCTGTTTGGTCCAGGCCTGTGCTCTTATGAAAAGCGCTCTGAGATAACTGTTGTTGTGATTTAGCACAATATAAATAAAATTGATGCTCACATCATTACATCGGTTAGATTCTTCACAATTCAATCGTTCAGTTCATTTAACGGAAACAACAAGCACCAAAGTCTAATTCTTAGAGATTTACCAGTGTAACCTGGATGGTGCCAGAGATGGATAAAAGTGCAGACTCACATTACCTTTGAAGCGCTCCTTAAGTCTGAATGTGTCCGTTCCTTGATTATTTATATTCCTTCAGTCTGTAAGTGTCCACTGATAAAAAGAATAAAAAACAGCTTTTCATAAAAATGTATCCAAGTTGTGAATCCTGTCATGTGAAGTTCATCACTCTCTGTCTGCTAACCTCTGCCATACTTCTCTAATCCTGCACCCTGTTGTTGTTATCGTTACGTTACTGCATTCAAAATAATACAGCATAAGCCATCTGTCAGAGCTAGATCAAATGAATGACGTGTGTTTATATTATTGGATCATTTTTATTCAAGTAATATTCTGTTTGAATTAAACTGTTTCATAGTAGCCTATTTCAGTTTTGTGCAATTAAAGTCCTGTCCCATGGATGCATGTCCCAAATAAAGGCAAGTTCAATTCAGTGATTTTAGGGGAGACTCCTTGCCTACTGTGAACTTATCTCTGATATTTGATTATATTTCTAGCATTTAGTATACCCCTGAAATTTCATTACACATTAAAAAGGTTATTCATAGAGGATGAAACAATTCCCGGTATAATGACAGTTAATATTACCGTACAGATTTTAATTACCATGATAAGTGGGTTTCGGTTCCCGCACTATAATAAACTCACGGCAAATACTGTCCAGCATCAATTTTATCCCTGGTATTCATTATACCCTTTTTAATTATATTTCTGATCTTTGCACTTTTATATTCATAACAATATCTGTAAATTATATATCCAGTCTACAGTAATAGATTTTTCCATATAACACAGAGGAAACCCACTTCATTATCTTCTTCTTCTCAAAAATGCTGCAGAAGTTAGATTACCTATCTATCAAATCCATTACTACCAGGCCAAAGTATCTCTTTAGCAACATTGTTAGTGATCTAGTATATAGCAAAGTGAATGTGAAAAAAAGTTTTTCTAAAGGTTTTTGCTCAATACCCACATCTTATATGTATATGTGGTAGAACAAGTAAAGCGTTCCATTACCTGCTGTGCTGTGGAGACTCCATGAAAAAGATGTGTAATTTGATCTCTGAGAAATCTGATGTAATCAGTGTATGCGTGTGTGTGTGTTTGTGTGTGTGTGTGTGTGTCCTCAGTGAAGTGTTTCAGTCTCTGCAGTAGCTTCCAGCTTCAGCAGTCAGTTCAGTTATTCAGTCTAGTCTGACTGAGAGAGGTTTTTGTACGACGCTTTTTCACTGTGTGAACACATACTTACTGTTGATATAGTGAAAACTCAGACAGTAGTAAACTGCTGAATCTTCAGTCTGGACTCCACTGATGGTCAGAGTGAAGTCAGAGTTTGATCCACTGCCTGTAAAACGATCTGGAATCCCTGATGCTCGATTGCTAGCATAGTAAATGAGGAGTTTAGGAGTTTCTCCATCTCTCTGTTGGTACCAGGCTAAAAGGTGGTTGTTGCTTGAAACATATACATCCTGACTGGTCCTACATTTGATGGAGACGGAGCCTCCCAGAGCAGAGCTCACTGCTCCAGGCTGAGTCACTGTGACCTGGCCTCTGGACTCTGAGGATACAGAGACAAACACATAAAGCAGCGTCATGGTTTTGTGGGCTTCATTTCAGAGGGACAGATGTTCATAGAGGAGAGGAGTTTGATTCTCTGGACTTTACCTGTGAAGCAGCAGCAGAGGAGAGTCCAGATGAGGACGCAGATCAAAGTCATGTTTTTGATGAGGAGGATTTCTGTGGCTTCTGTTGTCATGAAGGACAGCTGTCAGTCATCCAGTGTTCAACTCTCAGGACTATAAACTCTCCCAGAGCACTGGAGCATGGTGCTGCTGATGCAAAGTGGCTCTCTATGGAAATGCTCTGACTGACTTCAACAGGGACTTGGATTACTCTGATGATGCTGTTTATCAATGGATCAATACTCACATATTGTGTCTGATATTTGAAATTTGATTTATTCACAGCAATTCTTGAAGTCTTCAGTGTTGTTAACCAGACTAAATTCCCCTCCACTTAAAAATCTTGTTGCACTTCTAAATTTTCTACATTCGTATCAGTTCATTGTGGAAAACTATGTTGGATTTCTCTGTACGAAGAAAATACATTTCAAAATGTAGGTTTTAACATTCAGTCTCAAGGTCAGTGCCATTTTCTTTTGATTCAATTTATAATGTGTATAGTATTCAATCTTTCTTCCAGACTAATGATTTTAAAACCATTCTAAAACCAATTTGTTTGAAAAAGTAGTTGAGTAGGTAACAATGTTCATTTGAATGTTTCAGTGATGATTCCTGCTTACATGAGGAGAACAAACACATCATCATCATGTAGGAGGTTTTTGCTTGAGACAAGAAATATTTAAGATAGTTAAACCAATATAAGCCTTACAGTCTTCACCATATGTGAAATATTTTAAACTCTGAAATTCAGAAAGTTTAATTTCAAAATAAAAAATATATACACCTGAATAAAAGTGTGCTAGTGTTAAATTTTATCTTTAGTGCTGAAAACCGTCTGTTGTCATGGTTCAGCAGTGATGCCTATATGTTGCCATGGTTACTGAGCTCAGAGAAGGAAGTGAAACCAGTTTCATCCAGTCTGACGAAGACCAACAGAACTTGCAGCCTCCTCTGCTGCAACTAACAGGATGTTTAGTTTACCTCATATAAACTTTATTATCTCTCTTTCCAGTGGGTCGAGTCGTTCCAGAACACTGAGGAGAAGCTCTCTGTGTCTTAAAACAAACAAACAAAAAAAAAAATAAACATCTATCGCATTGCGTTTACATTTATAGTTACAAGAATAACTGCTGAGATATGTAGGGGTCTTCATTGAAAAGAGTAGATAAATTAAATCCCAAAAAAGTGAGTTTAAGTCGAGGAGGTGGACGTGCTCAGCGTAGTGGACAATGACTTCCGGGTGTCGGGGCGGCGTCATCAGGCGGCGACAAAAACTTTCACACTGAACCTTCAGGTATGAATGCATCAAAAGAACAAAATGTCACTTAATTTTTTATCTTTAGTACTGAAACCTGTCTGTTGTCATGGTTTCTGAGCTCAGCTGATGTGAAAAGAAACCCTTGTTTTACATATGACTCAATATCTTTAACTCTCATTTGTAATTTACTGAATGTTTACTGTGTGTTGGATGCTGCCTTTTTATTGTTGATCAAAAAGGCACAGACAAAAAAAGTTTTATCCAAATTCATGAAAACGTCACATCTGCTCTCTCTCTGTCTCTCTCTCCTTTTACACATGTTAACATTAATTTTCTTGTTGTGTTATTGGTGGTTTTAATAGTTCAAAACAATAAAAAATTTCATCAAATAGCTTTCCTTGTGGATTATGTTCATAAAATTGACAGGTTATGATTTTTTTTTTGCCATTCATCTAATATTACCAGTCATTTCAATAAGGTATGAAGACACAGTAATAACAAGACTGTCTTTTTAAAATATTACTTCTTCATTCTTTAATGACTGGGGTAACACTAACAATAATGATTAAAGCATTTTAATATAAAACCACCCATTTATCTTGTATTACAGGAGATTCCTCTTGATGAAGATCCACATGTTGTTTAGACTTAATTTGTACTCAGAAATGATGGTAAATTTTATTTCTCTGATCAAAAATAAGAATGTCGTGAATTGTATATTTTAGCATTAGAAATAAAGAGCAGGATATCAACAGCTTAAAATGATACAAACAGACTTTGATGTAAGATTTTACAGTTTTTCTATAAACAGGCTTTTGAACTAAAATTTCAAAACCATAACTTAATTTTTCAAAAAGCACAGCCATTTCTCTAAACTCTACACACAAATCCTTAAATTTTTCATTGCCTTCACCTTGTGGTCATTGAGAAAGCACTGACATTCGATATTGTTCACTCAATCAGGACAGGTTGAGCTCATTTAGCACACAGCTACCCAGGTGGAAACACAAACAGTCAAAATTGATAACACACCAATCGGAAGCTGCAATAGATAGATAAAAGGGCCAGAGTCAGTTCATTCAGTTTTGGAGCAATGGATCCAGAGAAATCTGAAGGAAGAGGTGTAGGACACTAGAGAGGGGGAAGAGGAGCAGCAGTATGGAGAGGAGTAAGAGGTGAAGGAAGAGGAACAGTAGGAGTTGGAGGAGGCTATGGGATGAGAGGAAGATAAGGAATTGGGAGGAGGTGGACCAGGAGTAGGGCGGAGGAGGAGGGTAGAGGAGGAGGAGAATCACTGGCCTGTCTCAGACCAAAGACAGCACCAGGGGCAGAATCATTTCTTGTTTGGTGTGCTGTACAGCACACTTGAGAATAAAAAATATGCTAATGTTTACATTTGTTGTTTGTTCATCACGTGAAAAGTTTTTTGAGGGGGAGAATCACAAGCAATATTACTAATAACCATTTTTTTAGCATTGTTTTGAATTTATCTCACCAGTGTGTAAGACTGTGTTGTAGTGTGTGTGTTTTTGAGGGCTTGTGTGTTATGTCTGAGGGGAAAGTTTGGTTTTTCAGCAAGATAGAATGGTTTTGAGTGGAGAGCTTTATTTTGACCTGAAAATAGGATGTTCTGAGAATTGGGTGAGAAGTTGTGGATTTGTGTTTAGAGTTTCATGAAAAAGAGGCATAATGTTAAGAAATGTGTTTATACAATCGAGAAAAACTGTAATCTACGGGCCTCTGCAATTCCACCTCAGGGACTCATATTTAAATTATACACTTGTAAGTATAGTTTTATGGTTTCATGACTTCAGTTGATAATGAAACGTTTTTAAAATTACATTAGTTTGTATATTGTTGAAAAACAGTTTTGTTTGGGCCATCTTTGGTTATGAAGGTTTCTGGTGCTGATCTGTGTTCATATTTTCTTTTAACTGGAAATCATTAAAATAGCTGTGATCCAGTAAGAGGCTGAGGTCAAAGGTCATGAGCAATACCTTTCTCATGGCAGTTTTTCACAATTGCTAAAGACACTAAATCGACAAATGATTTTAGGCCACTGAGCATTGGGTTCAGAGAATGGCCTTTGGAGTTCTGCATCTGTTCTTCTCCTCTGAAAATGTCAAATATTGTTTTTTCACGACTTGCTTGGATCTCGATAATTGCCCATTGCTGTTATATTATTTGTTGTTTTGATACATGTTCATTGGTGGTTAGAGCAACAGTGGCATGTTCAATCTATCTGATGAAATTGTGTGTGTGAAGTATGTGTGTGTGTGTCCTCAGTGAAGTGTATCAGCCTCTGCAGTAGCTTCCAGCTGCAGCACTCAGTTCAGTTTCTGTTCAGTCTGACTGAGGGAGGTTTTTGTACGATGCTTTTTCACTGTGTGAACACATCCTGACTGTTGATATAGTGAAAACTCTGACAGTAGTAAACTGCTGCATCTTCAGTCTGGACTCCACTGATGGTCAGAGTGAAGTCAGAGTTTGATCCACTGCCTTTAAAATGACCTGGAATCCCTGATGCTTGCTGATTACCAAATTTAATAATCAGTTTGTGAGTTTCTCCACCTCTCTGTTGGTACCAGAATAAATTGTCTGAATTCAAAACATCCTGACTGGTCCTACATCTGATGGAGACGGAGCCTCCCAGAGCAGAGCTCACTGCTCCAGGCTGAGTCACTGTGACCTGGCCTCTGGACTCTGAGGATACAGAGACAAAAACATAAAGCAGCGTCATGGTTTTGTGGGCTTCATTTCAGAGGGACGGATGTTCATAGAGGAGAGGAGTTTGATTCTCTGGACTTTACCTGTGAAGCAGCAGCAGAGGAGAGTCCAGATGAGGACGCAGATCAAAGTCATGTTTTTGATGAGGAGGATTTCTGTGGCTTCTGTTGTCATGAAGGACAGCTGTCAGTCATCCAGTGTTCAACTCTCAGGACTATAAACTCTCCCAGAGCACTGGAGCATGGTGCTGCTGATGCAAAGTGGCTCTCTATGGAAATGCTCTGACTGACTCCAGCAGGGACTTGGATTACTCAGATGATGCTGTTTATCAATGCATCAATCAATTTACCTGAGTATTGATAAGACATTTTTAAAAAACCTCTTGTTTAAAATATGTTATGAGTTATTTCAGTTAATTGCTAGAGAAAAAAATGTACCAGCAGTATTCCCTTTACACAACAGCAATAAAATATTTCTTGTAAATCTCAACTTAAACATTAATGTGATCAAATCAAATATTAAACCACAGCTATTTACCACTGCCAGGGAATTACCTTTTATCTAGCTTGTTAAAACAAGTTACCATCAGAGTCCAGTTTTCTTGGGATTGGGAACATAGAAACAGTCTATGTTCAGTAGAAAGTGTCCCTGTTACAGTGAGGTGAAGTGGTCGAGCACAAGGTGTACTGGGGTTCCCGTGAAACTGTCGTGGTCGCGGTCGCCTCACGCACACGCCCGCCTGCTGCCAAAGTTGAATTGTCTTGAATTTTTTGTACACGATGCGCAGCACAAATCATTGGAAGAGAGACTGATCCTCGCTGTTTGTGAGTTTCCAGAATCTAAATAGTTATCAGGACATCAACAGGAGGGAATTCACATGGCAGAGAATCCCCGCAAAACTAAATGCAGGCCTATCAGGTAAAGTTAGTCTGTGTATAATTTTAATTTAAGTTAAAGGCTACGGCTGTGTAGCGCACAGAAGCCGTTGCCATGGTTACTATCCATAGAGTGCCGGCCGTTCACTCGCGGAGAGCTGTCTCCCTGTCTGTTCACCTGAGAACCTGCTGAAGCCTCTCTGCTGCTTGTTTGGGTTATTTTGCAGGCTGATCAACATCCCACCTCTCCTGTGACCCATGGTTTGATTGTAGGCCTATGTGTATTCAGAGCCAGTGAGCAACGGACTTTCAAAATAATAATTTTAAAAACTGTCACCGTTAATTAATGAATGCTTTAATGCGATAATAATACGTTGAGGCAGCCCTAAAATTAACATATCAAATTAAAACAGTCATATTTTCACACGTCAGCTGATAAAATGTTACAAACAGAAACTATTTTTGGTGAGTTTGTTTGTGTCAAAGTCAGAGAGCCGTGTCTCTCTACAGTGAGAGGTTTTTGTACGGCGGCTCAATGAGTTTGTATCACTGTGGTACACGTTCGGTGGAGGAACCAGACTGGATGTTGGAAGTAAGTCAAACCTTTAACAAAACTTTTATTTCAATAGCTATTTTTCAACGTTTATAATCAGCATGCCAGAAAACTGTTTGACTTTCCATATAATGTATAAAGTTTATTAAAATTATTTGCACTAAGAAACAAAGTTCACTTTACTAATAGAAATTTACCAACTCATTATATAAATAGTAAATATACAATATTAAGCCACAGCAGAAATCATTATTTCCAACCTTAATGGTAAAGTTGCATCTTGAGGGCTTGTAGCTTTAGTTCAGTCTGTCAAAGTCAGAGAGCCGTGTCTCTCTACAGTGAGAGGTTTTTGTACGGCGGCTCAGTGAGTTTGTATCACTGTGGTGGACTTTTGGTGGAGGAACCAGACTGGATGTTGGAAGTAAGTTTCTGCTCAAATACTAAATACAATATTATCAAGTCCTGCTTTAAATTCAACTTTTGAAAGTTTAAGACAGATAAATATCTTATCTTTTAATTATAAAACATTTAGTGTTCATGTTTTTATTTCTCTTCCTTTACCATGGAGGCTAACTCAGAGCAGCTTAACTAAACTGTGCCTCACACAGTCCTGTCAAAATGAAATATAATCAACTTGGAAGTGGAGAAAATATAAAACTTTAATCTTAATGTAAAAATGTTGAGTTTAGTTTAAAATGTTCACCACATAATGGCTGTTATTGTGATTAAATACAATTCACTTTCATGTAAAACTGAAGTAAATAAATATGAGTGTTTTAAAAATGTTGCCTATTGTTATGAATTTGAAAAAAAAATACAATATTTCCATATTAATAGTGAAAGGACAACTGGCACTACTTTCAACACAGTGGTCAGTGTATCTGTCAGTAAGTGAAGTGATACAGCTGAGCAGTGATACCTGTGTGACTGAATTTGCACTTGAAAAGTAACGACGTTTAAACTGTATCTAGTAGTTCAACTCATCATTATAGCTGTTAATGTAAGTGAAGAAACACTTTGAAATCCAGATGAAGAACATCTGATTGTTGTCAGTTCATTTCTGTTTTGGTTTCCACTGAATAAATTATTGTACAGTCAAGTTTTTTGATGATCTTCTTAAGAAAGTTTGTTATTTATTTCCAGTGTAGTTTGATATATTTCAGGTCGTTCTGTATGATGATTCTCTCTGTGCTGATTTGCATGAGAGGCTTTTTAAAGGGAAGTGAAACAATGTGTGAGTGAGTGACTGGTGGAGCAGAAAAAACATCTGACAGAAACTCCTTAAAGGAGAAAATCAGCTCTCACACAGTAAAGGTGTCCTCTAAGCTGATTGGTGTCTCCTAGGTGATGTCCGTCCCACCCTGACGGTGCTGCCCCCCTCCAGTGAGGAGCTGCAGCAGGGGAAGGCCACGCTCATGTGCCTGGCCAACAAGGGCTTCCCCTCAGACTGGAGTCTGGCCTGGAAGGTGGACGGCAGCAGCAGCAGCAGCTGGGAGGAGAGCAGGAGCCCCGGGGTGCTGGAGAAGGACGGCCGCTACAGCTGGAGCAGCACCCTGAGGCTCCCTGCAGACCAGTGGAGGAAGGTGGGCTCTGTGACCTGTGAGGCCACCCAGGGCTCCCAGGCTCTGGTCTCAGAGACACTGAGGAGAGACCAGTGTTCCCAGTCCTGACCTGACTCACTGGGACTCTGCTACTGGTTTTACTCTGCTCTCTGAACTCTGTAACTCTCTCTGTGTCTGTGTCTCTTTCTTTCCTTAAGTCATTCTCTAATCACATGTTTCATGGTTAAAGTTTGTTTACTGCATTTAATTTGGATTATTTCAACACAATAAAGACCAGTTCATTCAAATTTGTTGTTTTCATTTCTGTTATAGTGACTGTACTCTGTTACTCTGTCATCAGATCATATTAACAATATTCAACTTTAAGTAGTGAAGCTTCATTGATGTAATAATGCTCATGCTGTAACACTGTAAGAAATAAAAAAAGTTATTTCAAATTAAATAATATTTCATGATAGTTTTATTTTTTACCAACAAAGATGCATTTTCCTTCATTTTATCAGTGCAGGATTATATCTGAGGTAATTTCTTGTTCTCCTTGAGTCTCACCTTACAGAGTCTCTGTTTAGCAGAGACACTGTAAAGTTTCTCTTTATAGCTGCATTAAGAGAACTTTCTAAATGCAGGTATAAACAAGGTGTGAATGAAAGAATGAAAGCGGGTGTTTTCATGAATTCATTTAAAATGTAGTTTGTACAAATCTACATTACTCAATACAGTTTCAAGGATTAAAAATTAAATATAAAGTACTTTCAACGTCAGATGGTTCTTATCTCAGATTTTCAAACCAAAGATTTTATGTCAGTATTGCATATACCACACAGTGAGACATTGGTCTATTCTGATGGAGCATGCAGGGTGAAACAGTAAACACAAATATCAAATTTCCATCACATACTCCTCCCTTGTGAGCATTCTTTGGTCACTCAAGAATATACAGCATTACAAAAAGATCATCAGGTCATAGAAAGGCATCATGACGTAATCTACACCAGTTTAACCAAGACAACGAATCTGGGTCCTTCCTTTCATCACAGTTCTGCTGCTGCAACAATGGCATGTTCACTTGTTCATGGAGTGTGATCATTTGAATAGACACACATTTATCAATAGCTCTTACAGTCAAACCTCTGGCACATGGAATAATGCAACATCCACAGAGAGGTAACAGCGCTACAGCAATCATTAGGCCTGCTAGTATGGGCATCACTAAGGCTTTTTATTTAGCAAATACAGAATCAGACCAGTCAAACATATTAGTGTCCACTTCAGAGTTCTCTGCAAGTTCTTCTCGTAGCGAACGCATTCCTTCCAGCACTGGGGTCACCGAACCATCTGGAGCTGTATTGTTGGGCACAAACGTACAAGAGGAGTTATTAAAATTATCCAAGCATCCCAGCCTCTTTGGGTGCTTCTCTTGCCTCTAACACTGCTATGTGATGTCAATGCCTGTGTGTAGTTCACTGTGGTGTTCTGTTGTGGTGGCTTTTGTGCATCATGCTTGTGATCTAAGAACTGCAACAGAGGAACTGTTAATGCTATTGCAATGGCAGCAAACATCTGTGTTGTTCCTCGTAGGCCCACACATGTCTGGGTGTCTGACTGGGTCCCATGGATGTCTCCTTCCAGAGACAAACATGCTACTCACTCTTAAATCAGCAGTGGTGAGACCAGGAGTTTTCCCACTAGCTCCCTTGTGTTGATGTTTGCTGTCTAACAGCCTTTGAGTCTGAGACAAAGGGTGATTGTGCACGCTTGTTGATCTGTTACTGTTCTGGTGCAGGCACCTTCCTGCAGTGGCTGGTATGTATCCATGTAGCTCTTTCAGCCTCCACAACCACCACAAAACCTCCTGGCGGGAGACTGCATCGGCTTTGTTGCTGGAGAGGGAAAAACTTCTATCCATTTTGGAAACATATCAACTATCATCAACAGTACTTTTTTGCCTTTGCTTGGGTTTAGCTAAAACCTCCCTCATAAGGTGGTTAAATGGTTCATCTGATGGTGGATGTGCTGCTAATGAAACCTGTAATCCCCTCCCTGTGTTGTGTCTTAGGCAGATTGAGCATGTTTGACAAAAGTTGTGAGGGTGTGTTGTGAAACCTTTCATGAACCAGTGTCTTGCTTCACCACAATATTTCATTAGTGATACAGTTACAGTTTTACAACACCAGCACTCTGTAGTTTTCTAGTAAGGCTAAACTAAAAAGGAAGAAGAAGAATTGGTTAGTGTTAGATATTAGGCTCTGGCCGCTGCTCCTGTTTAGGAGAGGGAAAACTTTCAACAATGACAACAAGACAGTAATTCTTTCACGTGATGTTAGTTCAATCAATTATACGATCACGTCCCTCATTTCGCTGTAAATAAAAACAAATTATGGCACGTTATTCTGGGTGACACTCTGCTCTGTGTGTGTAAAACAGCCTCTCTGAATGAGTTTCAACCTTGAGCTTCCAGGCTGTCTGATAACACATCTCACACACAGACTTGTTGTTCACATTACATTCCATCTCCAACACTGAGCGACTTAGATTTGCATTCAGTTCCCCTTGTTCTCTGTGGAGGAGAGTGCATGGGCAAAACTCTGGACCATGTTTAAAAAAAGGGATTTAAACAATAAAATCAAACAACAAGGAACGAGCAGGCAGCAGTCTGTTCCTGTAAAAATGGCGCCAATCTGTTAGCGTGCATCACATTTTATCATCAACACAGCAGCAGCACACAAAGAAACATCCAGCATAACATAAAAGCAACAGACACAGCAAGCAACACGACAATAAGCACCGATCTGGTCTGCTTCCAAGATGTAGTGTCAAAACAGGTCATGTGATCGTCCTCTGGTCAGCAGCCTAAGTAAAAACGTAGTCATGTGTTTGTAGTACCCGAGTAAGGCAGACTATAGAGAGCCATTTCAGTCAGTGAGGCTCTGTCAGCTCAGCTTCGTCAGTTCAAGTTAGTCAAGAGCACTGTTAGTTTACCATGAATCATGAGAGAGAGATTTATCTCTCTGTTCATCTTTTTTAGTAATAGGATCTCTTGTCCATAAAATCATCATCATGATGATGGTGATTGGTTCTGGAATAGATGAAAAGGCTTGAATGCATTGGGAGAGAGAGCTTTACTCTCATTGTGATCGCATTCCCAGATAAGTTATTCTGTCTATTCGAATTGCAATTAGAGACAGACAGACTAACCTTGCGTGAGGCCATTGTGGGCGAACCGCTTTAGCAACACAATGGTCATCTCAGCATGCTGTGTGTGATGGACTCAGAACGGAAACCGACCAGCCGCGTGGGAAATATAAAATTTTAAAAACAGACGTTTGCCAAATCACCAACAGAGAAATGTGTAGTCTTTGATGTAAAGCTGTGAAACCTGCACTGCTCACGGGTGCACTAATGCATTTACCACCACTCTGTTGCTCTGTTGGTTGGCCTTCAGCACAATCTTTTTGAAAATGTGGGTGCGTACAGGTCACTCCAGCCTGTAGCAGCGAACAAAAAGAAAACATGTTTAATATTTCCAAGCGCTTCTTTTTTTAGTAAATATTATTTCACACATCAAATCAAATCAAACTTTGTGTTAACTATAGCTATAGACTCTCATTCAATTTGCACCTCAGACATGAGGTCACTACGGTGGCCTGTAGGTTTCAGGCCTAATACAAACACCACAACACAAATACAATTAAAGCTGCAAGCAGCGTTGGGCGGGCCCTCGCACGTGTAGCGCGTTGGTGTGTGAGACGGCCGTGTTGCATATTCTGGATCTCTGCCGGTGCAGCTGTGAATTTGCTACGCGCTTCTGACGCTGAATGAAGGTGTTTTACTGCACTTCCTGTGTCCCCTTTGTGGCACTACATAGCACTTGGCGCTATGAATAAATTAATATTGGCGTGTGGATGTCTTCGGGGTGGAACATTTATCAAGCACGTAAAGTTTTGTTCAGATGTGAGCATGTACACTGAAGTTACAACAACTTCCTGTGTCATGGCGAAGAGTTGATCTTTGACGCCACGCCACGGACACGCCCATCGACGAAAACTATGAATAGGGGGTGCTGCAGCACCTCCGCACCCCTTTGTATAAGTATAAAGTCATCTCCATGGTAACCTGAGACTCCTTGCTTTTTGTTTATGATGCTAATCTGCACAGACAGCTGTTTAATTCACACAAATATCCCGCTGTATATTATTTGACCAGAACAGAAGTATTACTTATTTATCAAACGGGTAAGTTCTTCTTCCACGTAGGCCTACATTTACTAATTTGGCAGACACTATTATGTGGGAAAAAGTCACCTGAAGAAGAAAGTTCTTTCTAAAATTTGAACCCAGACCTCTTGAATGTGGAACAACTACATAGTCGCTGTACTACTGTGTAGCCGTGTTCTGCAGACAGTAATCCACTGTTACTAAGCGTCTCTTTCGTTGTCAACTTCGGTTGTAGGTGGCGGTTGTATTCGTGTTGTGGCTTTTGTGTTCGTGTTGTGGCTTTTGTATTAGGCCTGAAACCTATGGGCCACCATAGGTCACAGTTTAATGTTTTAACCAGTGTACTCAGATTCCAACTTATGGGCCTGTTGTCAGTCAGCCAACTCCGGGCGGACTTCCCATCCCCAAATCCATCCGTTTCCAAATCACTTTGCTTCGCCATGTGTATATGCCCCCTTGGTACTGCTAAGATCAGAGAAGGAGAAAAAGAAACAAAACAACAGCGCAGCGCTCCTTGTCCAGATGTTGAAATAATTCTCTCTCTCTTTTTTTCTCACTGTCCCTGTTCCATAAATAATTAAAAATTGTTGCATCCTGTCCATCAGAACTGTGTACTGTGCAGTGTAATGAGTCTATGTGCATGTATCCAAAGGTCTCTTAGTGTGTGTGTGTGTGTGTGTGTGTGACATGGGGGTCACTCATTCAGTGCTCTGATAACTGAAATAAGTGTTTAACAACTATGTCATCGAAATTCATTATTATGATACCTTATATGCAATACCTGCCGCTCTGTTGGGCTGTTTTCAACATATCATGTAGCAATATTATCCCCTGCTGGGGTTAAATTTACTAACAGCTACTTTGGCAGTTTGCTAAACTCTTTGTGGTTATCATTCATCACCAATGTAGGCTGTTCAAGCTCATCAGCATTTACTAATAAATTAATATAGTATTACTTTGTTTTTTTACCTTCAATTGCTTAAGATTTTATTTTTCTGTGAGAAATTGTGACTCACCCAGTGTGTGTGTGTCCCAGTTGTTTCCTGTCCCCTCCAGCTCAGTCCATTTGGATCTGTTTTGTATCTGTCCAGACAATCTCTGTGTACCAATGTCCATTTTTGTCCACCGGTCTCCCCTACTGTCCGTTTTCTCGTACCGTGGTTAATACAGAGTTCTTCAGCCCCTTTTGATGGCTATTTTATCACTTTGTCCTCTTTGTATAAATCTTCAGCTTGCATGCCCTATCAAATTTCAAAAATATATAAAAAAATATCCAATTTCCATCACACCTATTTCATCAGTGTTTTATTTGCATGAAGACAATATACTCAGTCCTGTCAATACATCTACCAAAGTTTAAACAAAAAATATTTTAGGCTTTATGATGAGAAGACTCATTAGCAAAAAAACAACAACACAGAATATATCAAATTAACAAAATATAAATGTGATTTCACATTTTACAAATCAACATGGAGGTGCATTGAATTTATATAAAATACTCACCTAAAACAAAGGAAAACTTACAAAATGACATTTCTTATTATTGTAACCTCTCAGTGTGTTTCAGTAAAATGTAACTTTACAACTTTTAAATGCATGAGTTTCATTCTAATTAAAGTACATTTACATACATTACATTACAGTGTGGTTATGTTTTTGAAATATCTAGTGTCATGGTTTCTGTGCAGCTGGTGATTCAGATCAGTTCCTCTCCAGCTGAGGGAAGTTTTTGTACGACGTTGTATCACTGTGTGAATGGGAAGCTGTGACCACCCTGGTGACAGTAATAAACTCCTGCATCTTCAGTCTGGACTCCACTGATGGTCAAAGTGAAGTCAGTTCCAGACTGACTCCCACTGAAACGATCTGAAACTCCAGACTGACGGGTTGTAGCATAACGAATCAAAAGTTGAGGAGATTCTCCAGGTTTCTGAAGGTACCAGTGAAGGTAGTTACTCATACTTGAACTGGCTTTACATCTGAGAGAGACAGTCTGTCCTGGAACAACAGACTGAGCTCCAGGAGACTGAGTCAGGATGATTTCTCCTGATGAATCTGGAAAACATGAAAAAGAGGAGAAGGGTTATTGAGACAAATCCAGTTTGGAGAAAGATGATCAACATCCAAACAGAAGAGTCTCATTTCTTTAACATGGAGAACAGATGGAAGAAGGTAAATGCTGCTTGTTTCAGTGTTTCTCCATCACAGCAGAACATCATTGTGGTGAACCTGGTTGCATCCTGAAGCAAAGTTTTCAGAAGAGAGTCTCACCCTGAACAAGGAGCCCCAGGGTGGCCAGCAGTAGAATCAGTGACATCATCATTGTGCTGCCGGCGTGTCAGTGGCTCTGAAAGGCCTGGACAGCCACTGATCAACACTGGCCTCTTAACGGCTGGGAGCAGAGAGGCAGGACACATATGCAAACACACAGAGTCAGTGAGCTGTAGCTGTCCTCAACATATCATGGTGTTTCCCCCTCAGTGCTGAGAGCGTTGATCTACATATTTACATATTTACATGTAGACGATACTGAAAACTTCCTCTACATGTAATATGGTAATATGGTGTTTTAGACCATGATTAGTGACATTAATATCAATGTAGGTTTGACATCTTTAGGTGTCTGTAATGTGGAGATTTCATCAAGTAAAGTAGTGTTGGGTGTTTGAGGGGATGCTGATGCCGACGATCTCAGAGAGCTTCCTCGAGAAACTCCAACCAGAAAACATGGAAGTCATCATCAGTTACATTACTGTTTTTATGACATGATCTTCCTCAGCAGATGGAGTTCACCCAGCTGTCATGGAATATTTTAACTTTGAAGCCGTTCACTAACAGGACCGCACCAAGTTAAAGGTGGTTCATGTGATCATGTTTACGAGGAGGGGTCAAGAGGGAAGGGATGAAAGGACTCGTGGGAAGGTGGATGGGAGAGGGTCGTATAGTGCTACTGAGAACCGAGACCGGGGTCGAGACTCAGGGTGGGGACTCGTCTCTGTAGAGGCTCGCTTGTGGAGCAGCTGATGGATCGTCCCCCCGTGGTTCCTAGAAGACTGAAGGAGCTAGATGAGGCCGTATGGAGCCTTTCTGAAGGGATGGGGGGGGGTTAGAGAACTGAGACAGTGAGAGAGAGTTGGGTGATCTTATGTATGTGGGGGTGATTGGATTATCACACTTACTATCACACTTTCACACTGAACCTTCAGGTATGAATGCATCAAAAGAACAAAATGTCACTTAATTTTTTATCTTTAGTACTAAAACCTGTCTGTTGTCATGGTTTCTGAGCTCAGCAGATGAGAATTGTAATTTACCGAATGTTTACTGTGTGTTGGATGCTGCTTTTTTATTGTTGATCAAAAAGGCACAGACAAAAAAAAGTTTACAAAAACGTCACATCTGCTCTCTCTCCGTCTCTCTCTCTCTCTCTTTCTCTGGTTCTGTCTCTCTCTCCTTTTAAACATTTTAACATTAATTTGTTCTTGCTTGTTGTGTTATTGGTGGTTTTAGTAGTTCAAAACAATAGAAATCAAAAAAATTTACTTTTGGATTATGTTCATAAAATTGACAGGTTATGATTTCTTCTTTTTTGCCATGCATCTACTATTACCAGTCATTTGAATAAGATACGAAGACACAATAATAACAAGACTGTCTTGTTACTTCTTCATCCTTAAATGACTGGGGCAACACTAACCATAATAATAAAGCATTGTAATATAAAAACACCCATTTATCTTGTATTACAGGAGATTCCTCTTGATGAAGATCCACATGTTGTTTAGACTTAATTTGTACAAAGAAATGATGGTATGTTTTATTTCTCTGAAACACAAACAGTCAAAATTGAAATCTGAAGGAAGAGGCGTAGGACACCAGAGAGGAGGAAGAGCAGTATGGAGAGGAGTAAGAGGTGAAGGAAGAGGAACAGTAGGAGTTGGAGGAGGCGATGGGATAAGAGGAAGATAAGGAGCAAGAAGATTTCAGAAAGATTGAATGGTTTTGAGTGGAGAGCTTCATTTTGACCTGAAAATAGGATGTTTGGGGAATAGGGTGAGAAGTTGTGGATTTGTGTTTAGAGTTTCGAGAAAAAGAGGCATAATTTCAAATAATGTGTTTAAGCAATCGAGAAAACAATTCCACCTCAGGGATAAATAAATTGTTTTGAAAATGAAGATGGAAGATTGATTTTGGGATTTTATATAGTTGATCTATTTATATTTAAATTATACACTTGTATGTATAGTTCTATAGTGAAACTTTTTTTAAGTGACATTATTTTGTATATTGAAAAACAGTAATGTTTAGACCATCTTTGGTTATGAAAGTTTCACAATTGCTAAGACACATTTCTTGAAAACTTCAACCATATTCTCAAAACTTTAAACACAAAAAACAATCTTTAAACTACATTCACAAAACAAAATCAAACACTTGGCTCAAAACCATTTGATCTATGCTCAAAAGCCAACAATGCTTTCACAACATAAACACACACAGTAAAACACTACAGAGCATTCTTTAGACATTGAGAACACAGCGTCCAGGGCAAGTAGGTCCAGAAAATGTTTTTTGTTGCGTAGAGGAAATAAATTTTCCAATTTAAAAAGTATAGTAATCACAACTTAGTACAGTCAATATAGTATACTCTAAGTACTACAGTACAGTACGCCCAAGAAAAAAGAAAACTATAAATGAAAAGCACATTACACTTAAAAATGTCAGTACAGTAAGAGACTTCATCCACATCTCCATGCAACCTTGTCCCTCGCCAAGCAAAGGAGGAAAACCCTCTGAAGCGCTGGATGCAGCCTGACTGTAACAACAGTTTAAATGAGTTTTGGTCATAGACCTTCCACCATCAGGCAGAGAAACATTATTCTGTTGGACTGAAGTAAGGTCTGTAGGTTGAAGGTAATCATTTATGACTCACTGGTTGCTGGTTTACGTTGAACCACTTGCTTAGCGGGACACCACAGTGAAAGCTCACATCTTCCCATAGACAGGATGTACTGCCAGCTGATGATCCTGCTGCTGCTTTAGCGAGTGGGAATGTGTTTAGAGTTTTGCAAAAAGAGTGGATGAGATATGCAAACAAATAACTACCTGAACTTGTTTAAGGTTTTGCCTAAAGAGTGACTGATTCGACAAATGAGTATAGGCCACTGAGCATTGGTTTCAGAGAATGGGGTTTAGTATTCTGCATCTGTTTACGCAGCCCCACTAGGCCCACTTAGTCAAAAAAATGAATTCCAAATACCTCAAGATAGTGTCTTGTGGCCTCAAAATACTTACTCGTAGCCTCAAGATATTATCTCATGGCCTCAAGATATTACAGTTTTTCTCGATTGCTTAAACACATTTCTTGAAATTATGCCTCTTTTTCTCGAAACTCTAAACACAAATCCACAACTTCTCAACCAGTTCCCAGAACATCCTATTTTCAGGTCAAAATGAAGCTCTCCACTCAAAACCAAATCTTGCTGAAAAAACAAACTTTGCCCTCAGACATGACACACATCTCCTCCGGAACACACACAGTACAACACAGTTTTACACACTGGTGAGATAAATTCAAAACAATAGTACAAAAACTGGTTATAAGTAATGTTGCTTGTGGTTCTCCCCCTCAAAAACCTTTTCACATGATGAACACAAAATAAATAACAAATGTGAACATTTGCACACTTGCACACATTTTTTATTCCTTGTGCTGTACAATAAAACACACCAACCTACAAATGATTCTGCCCCAGCATCCTGTCTTTGGTCTGGGACAGGCCAGAGATTCTTGTTCTCCACCTCCTCCTCCTTACTCCTTCTCCCTCTAATTCCTCCACCTCCTTCTCCACCTCCTCCTGCTCTGCCTCCTCCACCTCCTCATCTTCCTCCTATCCCATCTCCTCTTCCAACTCCTACTGTTACTCTTCCTTCACCTCTTACTCCTCTCCATACTGCTCTTCCTCCTCCTCCTCCTCCTCCTCCTCCTCTCCTCCTCTCTGGTGTCCTCTACCTCTTCATTCAGATTTCTCTGGATCTGTTTGTGTTTCCACCTGGGTAGCTGTATTGTAATTGATCTTAACCTGTGCTGATTGAGTGAACAATATCGAATATCATTGCTTTCTAAATGATTTTCTCCACAAAACAGAGAGTGCACAGTGCACTGCTCCAGCAGTTACTATGCTGAGGCCATGAGACACTATTGTGAGGCAACGAAGTGATAAAATTTTTTTTGATCAATTGGGCCTAGGGGGGCGCCGTACTTCTTCTCTGAAAATGTCAAATGTAGCGTTTTTCACAACATGCTTGGATCCCGATCATTGCCTATATTTTTTATTGAAGTTGTTTTGATACATGTTCATTGGTGGTTTAAGCAACAGTAAAATGTTCAATCTATTTGATGAACAACAGCTGCAGCACTCAGTTCAGTTTCTGTTCAGTCTGACTGAGGGAGGTTTTTGTACGACGCTTTTTCACTGTGAGAACACAGACTGTCTGTTGATAGCATGACCACTATTACAGTAGTAAACTGCTGCATCTTCAGTCTGGACTCTACTGACGGTCAGAGTGAAGTCAGAGTTTGATCCACTGCCTGAAAAATGATCTGGAATCCCTGATGCTCGAGTGCTAGCAGTGTAAATGAGGAGTTTGGGAGTTTCTCCATCTCTCTGTTGGTACCAGGCTAAATAGTTCCCACTATAAACATTGTGACTGGTCCTACATCTGATGGAGACGGAGCCTCCCAGAGCAGAGCTCACTGCTCCAGGCTGAGTCACTGTGACCTGGCCTCTGGACTCTGAGGATACAGAGACAAAAACATAAAGCAGCGTCATGGTTTTGTGGGCTTCATTTCAGAGGGACGGATGTTCATAGAGGAGAGGAGTTTGATTCTCTGGACTTTACCTGTGAAGCAGCAGCAGAGGAGAGTCCAGATGAGGACGCAGATCAAAGTCATGTTTTTGATGAGGAGGATTTCTGTGGCTTCTGTTGTCATGAAGGACAGCTGTCAGTCATCCAGTGTCCAACTCTCAGGACTATAAAGTCTCCCAGAGCACTGGAGCATGGTGCTGCTGATGCAAAGTGGCTCTCTATGGAAATGCTCTGACTAACTCCGGTTAGTTATACTATATTTTAATATGGTATAGTAAAAATACTATGATCATAACAAACCAACTTCTGCCAGTACTAATCATCTTTTCAGCACCATTATTATTGCTCTGTATAGCAATTTAAGAGACAGTAAATGCTTTTCTTTTATTCTAACAGAGTTAATGCACATGTCTGCCATCTATCAATCGCCTGCTGTGCTGTGGAGACACATTTATACAAATGTGCAACCGCAGCTTTAAATTTTTTTATCTTCTTCATATCACATTTATTTTCCTTTCACAGGTTGATATTCATTGTTTACTCTTCTGTTTGTTCCTAAATGTTTCATTCAACACTTGATTTGCTGTCACCAATTGAGTTATTCTTAAATGTTTTTATGGTAACACATGTGGCAATGAAACGAATTTGAAACGTTGAACGAATATTGTATAGAAGATTCCAAAGGAAATTTAGAGACCGCTGTTTCTTTCGTTTATATCTGTGTCATTCTATGATAAACACGTTCATTTTGTACAGTATGACGTTGCTGGACCACAAAGTCCAATAACACGGTTGCTGAATGTAAAATTTAATACAGTTTCCTCCATTATAAAGTTGCAGCTGTGGTTTGCCACAGTAATAAGGATTTGTACATTCATCTTGTGTTAGCTCCTGTCTCCAGAGACAATAGAGCCAATGTTGTATTCCCCAACATAGTTCTGAGACTGACAACATTAAGTGGAGAGAGTTTGTGCAGAGATTGTATTTCTGATTCCAAGGTCAAGAAAGAACTTTAAATGTCAGTGTATTTGTTGAATTTTTGTTGCATATAAAAAATGCTTTGTATTCAGTTATAGTTATGTGTAGATGTAGTCAGATGACATACGTGATTCAAGATTTTTTAATAATTCCAATTGATATTTAGCTGTTCTTTACACAACTGTCATGTCCCCGGCTTGTCTAGGGGCGTGGGACTAACAAAGAGAAATAAACCGGGTGGAAAAAACCATGGGTGACCCAAAACACGTCAAGTTAATGTATTTATTTCAAATTAGTAACAAAAAAAGGTGTTTAACAACTTAAAACGATTTTTCATCCTATCAGAGATGATATGGGGTTTGTTATCTAAAGTAAATTAATTATTTGCTATCGTAACGTAATCATCTATATAACAAAACAACTTCAGCAAGTACAAATAATCTCTTTAGCACCATTGTTACTGCTCTGTATAACAATTTAAGAACGACTGCTTCTGTTGTGTCTAATGTAGTTAATGCACATCTCTCAGTACCAGAACAGGTAACAGGAAGAGGTTACACAGAACTGTCAATCACCTGCTGTGCTGTGGAGACGCCTTGATACTGATGAGTAAGTTTATTTTTCTTTCAGAGGTTAATATTCAGTATTTACCCTTTTGTTTGTTTCATTATTCCTCATTTCCAACACTTGCTGTCAGTGAACCCAGACTGGATGTTAACTGTAAGTACATTTGACTCTTTTAATAACCCAAATTATTATTATTTTTTTAGTTTTATTTCATAGCTGTAGCAATAATTCTTGAATGCGGTACATTATGTCCTCAAACTGATTAAAATCTTCTTCAGTTAAACCAGTTTTGTTTCACAGGAATTCAATTTCAGCAGTTTCAAGATATCACGTTTAAAGTCAGACAAAAAAAAATTCATAAAATTTTTTAAATTTAGCACAAGTTATGTTTGTTTTAATTGATCTATGTGAAGATTATTGTAAAATGTATTTTTTCACTTTAAACCTTACATGTGTCATTTCCTTATTAAAGGTTCAGTGTACAATATTTAGCAGGATCTTTTGACAGAAATACAATATAATATCCATAACTATGTTTTCAGTAGTGTATAAAGACCTTACATAATGAACCGTTATGTTTTCATCACCTTAGAATGAGCCATTTCTATCTATCTACACCGAGGGTCCTCTTACATGGAAGTCGCCATGTTGCGCCACCATGTTTTTACATTAGCCCAAACGGAGAAACTGCTCTACAGACTATGTTTCATCACTACATTGAATACGTCTGAAAAACAAGCAGAAGAAGAAGAACAACAAGCAACGTTAGTAGTAGTAGTAGTAGTCGTATGGTTTATTAGAAGAGAAGTGAAATTTGGACAAATGGAGGACCACACATATTATTTAACCCAAGAGCCGACCTAACGTGTCGGCCACCGTAGCTTCTCCTGTATGCTTGGAAAAGAAGGGCTGAGTGGTGACTGATGGTGCATTCATGTGGTGTTGAAATAATTGGATTGATTTTCCTTTTCCTTTATTGCAAAAGAAGAATAAAGTGTAAATGGGACATAAAAAGTATAGAAAACAGCAAACAAATATAAGAAGACACAAATAATAACAATTTTGCCAGGGGTAGTCTGTATCATATATACATATTAAAAGAGGACCATGTGTTGAAAGTTTTCACAGCCTTTTTATTGTTGGATTTAGTAATTAAATTGCTCTGATAATGCTAATCTAACACATTTTTGTAGTAGCGTTCATGTTGATTCCACATTCCGACATAAGAGCGCATGAACACACCAGAAGTCGGAAGAACGACTTCACAACTCTGGAAATGGGACCATCCGAGGAGCACGTGAATGCACAGTGAGCCGTTGGTTGCAAACTGCCACCCTCACCACGAGATGCTACTAAAACTTACACACTGAACCTTTAAACATGAATGCATCACAGGAACAAAATGTCATTTTAACTTTTTATCTTTGTAGTGAAACCTGTTTGTTGCTATGGTTCAGCAGTGATGCCTGCCTTATGCCAAGGTTACTGAACTCAGCAGATGAGAAAAGAAACACCTCTTTTACATATGTCTCAATATCTTTCAGCCCCGTTGGGTCTGGACGCCTTTCCCCCAGTCACTCTGCTCCCGGGGGTTCTGGAGCGGGTCCGCCAGGACAATGTCGGCCTACTGCTCATAGCCCCATTCTGGCCAACCCGAGTGTGGTTCTCGGACATCATGATCGCTCCTGGACAGCCTGCCATGGCGGGTCCCTCTGAGGAGAGACCTGCTGTCCCAGGCGCAGGGCCGGGTTCTTCACCCTTGCCCCGCCATATGGCGACTGTGGGTCTGGCCCCTGAGGGGGCACAGTACCTAGAGGCGGGTCTAACAGCCGGAGCAGTCGAGACCCTCCTCAGCTCCAGGGCCCCGTCCACACGGATCCTCCGTGGTGCCCGGAGGATGAGACCTGCGACTCGGTCCAAGGTTCCCACTTGGGATCTGGAGGTGGTTCTTGGGGCGTTGGCTGAGGCCCCCTTCGAATCCCTGGAGTCAGCTGAGGCTAAGCACTTGACCCTCAAGATGGCCTTTCTCCTTGCTATCACCTCACTTAGGAGGGTGGGGGATCTCCAAGCGCTTTCGGTTTCCCCGCAAAGCCTGGAGTTTGCCCCGGGGAATATTAGGGCTTTCCTGCACCCTCGTCCAGGATACATCCCTAAAGTGCCTTCTTGTGCGGCAGGGTCCACAGTGCTGCAGGCATTTCATCCTCCACCTCATGTGACGGCGGAGGACGGGAGACTTCATCTGCTCTGCCCTGTCAGAGCACTGAGTATGTACACTCTGAGGTCCTCCCATTGGAGGAAGGCTGACCAGCTGCTTGGGTCTTTTGGGTCTCCCAGGGCCGGGCTCCCTGCATCCAAACATACTATTGGCAACTGGATTGTTAAGACTATTTCCCTGGCCTATCAGGTGCGCGGTTTGCCTTCACCTGTGGCTGTGAGGGCTCATTCTACCAGAGGCATGGCGGCCTCTCGAGCCCTCCTTTCTAGGGCCTCTTTGCAGGATGTTTGTTTAGCGGCTGGCTGGGCCACTCCGCACACATTCATTCGGTTTTACAGTCTTGACCTTCCTTCGGCACCTGGCACTCGTGCAAGTCGTGCCACTTTATTGCACACTGGGGCAGGCGGGGTTTTCGGCACGGTTTAGTGGGTATCTCGTTCCCATAGTGTCGTAACCGACGCAGTTCGAGTTCCCTGGTGTAACCCTGGTTCCCCGAGAAGGGGAACGAGACACTGCGTCGGCCCGCCGCACCTCTCTCCCCGCCTTAAGCGCCTGCTTCATAGTTTAAGCTAATGATGAGTGTGTACAGGTGTGCTTTATACTCCTCCGGTTATTCCGTCACACCTTACCGTTCTAGCAACAAGCCAATAGGATTGGAGTGATCTCATTCACATTCAGACCTGCTTCCCCTAGAGGCGTTCCCATAGTGTCGTAACCGACGCAGTGTCTCGTTCCCCTTCTCGGGGAACCAGGGTTACATACGTAACCCGAGACGTTATACTCTGGACCCACCTGCGCGTTTACAGGTGGACAGAGGTTGGGTGCGAGATTTAAGACCACTTCCTTCACTCTGTTCAATCTCACTCTGATTATTTTTTCACTCAATTACCTACTCATTTCTCACCCTGTAAATATTTAATTAAAGCAATGATAAAATATAAAAGCAAAGAAAAACAGGGCAGTAAAAGTTACTTTAAAAGAACTGACAGTTTCAGCAGACCTGCAGTTACTGTATCTGGGAGTTTGTTCCAAATATACGGAGCATAATAACTGAACACTGCTTCTCCTTGTTTAGTTTTGCCTCTGGGGACAGAAAGCAGACCTGCCCCAGACGACCTGAGAGGTCTGGATGGTTCTTAACGAAGCAGAAGATTGGAAATGTATTTTGGCCCTAAACCATTTAGTGCTTTATAAACTAACAGCAGGATTTTGTAATCAATTCTTTGACATACAGGAAGCCAATGTAAAGACCTCAGAACTGGAGTGATGTGATCCACCTTTTTGGTCTTAGTGAGGACTCGAGTAGCAGCGGTCTGAATCAGCTGCAGCTGTCTGATGGATTTCTTAGGGAGCCCTGTAAGGACACTGTTACAGTAGTCAAGTCGAATGAAGATAAATGGATGGATAAGCTTTTCTAGGTCCTGCTGAGACATAACTCCTTTAATCCTTGATATATTCTTGGCAGCGCGCAGCTAAACAAACATTTCATGAAAACAAACAATCCGCCAATTTAAGCCAACAAATATTAACAGTCAAATTGCTCTGGAGGACCTCGAAGACGAGTGTTTGGAGGAGCTTGAAGTTTACATTGATGAGTGTTTTCACCGAGTGGCCATGGGGAAATCAAAGAGAAACTACACTGAAGATTCACCTGGAGCATCACTGGAAGCAGTCTCCTCACAAGGCGCAGATTTCACAGAGATCCTGGATTCAATAGACAAGAAATCGTCTAGCTTTGATGCCCGATTAATTCTGGTGGAAGTACTTCAGAAAGAGTTACAGGGTCTGCGGGAATCCCTTGAGTTCAGCCAGAAACGGGTGGTTGAGCTCGCGGCAGAAAACAAGGTCCGCCAAGGTTTGGTTAAATCCCTCACGGAGGGAATGATGTGGCTCTCGGCGGAAAATAAACACATTAGAGGAGCGATCATCAATCTCCAGGCTCGTAGTATGCGGGATAATCTGGTAATTTTGGGCATCACGGAGCAGGCCCGCCGTCAGGGGGGGGTCAAAGGGTACAGATGACCCCGGCCCGAGGCCTTGGGGCCCATACAAAGGTCTATGGTTAACCCTTAAATGTGATCAAGTTAGACACTTTACTAACGGTCTTTTATAAATAACAAAACTTTTTAGATGTATTTACATGAAAAATAAATTTATTGTTGTCATTAAAACATATTTCAAACTTGTCATCTGATAACCGCCCCCCCCCACCCCCCTCATGCTGTTTAATTCGGGCACATCGCTAGCACACACACACACAGGTGCATACAACATGCACACATAGACACACACATACAGGCGCATACAACACACACACCACACACAAGGATACAACACACACTAGCCTACACTACATCCCTTAAGTATAATTTATACTTCTGCAACGAATTGATGGCGTAGCCTCTGCGTAGCCCCCTACCCTACACTGTCACCTACGCCATAGCCTGACGTGCACTTCTTCAAAAATGTAACCACACATCGAGGTAACGCAAACCGTAAGCACTGTGATTTGTCGGCAGCCTCACAATACCTCAGAGCCGATAGAAAGTGTCAAAGTGTGCTTTGAAGTAACTTTTACTAGCGGCCAAAACAGTGGCTGGATCTCGTGGATCAATATATTTGACCATCAGAACCCGAGCGAAATGACTCGTTTCACTATCAGAATGTAATCCATTCGGTCGATATCATTTGAAAAGGCTACACCAGCCACACGTATACAATTCGTGAAAGAGACGGACAAGAAACGCACAAGTATAAATGCATGGCTACGTGCGTAGCCTACGGGGTAGCTTCGCACATAGATCCTAGGCAGGAGTATAAATCAAGCTTAGTTGAATGATGACCACACTTCAGCTCACCTCTTGTAATGTTCGCGGAGTTGGTTCAAGGGAAAAGAGATTAAATTGTTTTAATCTAAATAATGTGCAAGCAGACATTGTCCTACTACAGGAGACTCATTTATCCAAGACTGCAGATAAACTAACCTCACCTCAGTTTCCTCACTCGTACTCTGCCTGTTTTAACTCAAAACAAAGAGGTGTCACCATTATGATAAACATCATCTGAACCTGTTTGGTCTGATGGCCTTCAGCACATAAGCCTTTATTGTTGTTTTGTATCCTGTGAGTCGGTGGTTTTATGGTGTTAGTGGAATGCATGTCTTTAACTGCCGTGTTGTTGCTGTAGTATGAAAGAGGCTCAGGAGCGTGAACAGAGCTGAATCTGACCCGTTGTCCCCACATTAAAAGCAGAATAGTGTCTGATGCAACCAGGAGAGAAAACAGGCTTGTGCTTCGTTTCTAATTGAGTTTTGAGCCCATTGACAATAAGGCAATGGAAGCTGGATTAATTTCATTGAAAACTTACATATAGTCCCATTAAGAATGAACTGTTGATCTCGATTCACTTGTCTGGTTTTGAGCTTTTTATTTACAGTCTATAGTTTTGAGGTGCATGTAAAAGAACATGTGTTATTGCATATATTTCATAAAAAGTATATGCAGTTATAATTAAATTATATACATGTAAATGTGAGCCATTTTGATTATGAGATTTTCTGATGCTGATCTGTGCCTGAGACTGAGGTAAAAGGTCATGACAGAGACTTTTCTTCTTAACGGTCCCAGGGTGGCTCCTTTGGATGACTTGGCAAATAAGACAAGAGAATGGCACATTAAGATATGAATGGATGGTGAGATGTTGTGATGGAGAAACTAATTTATTATTCAACAATATATTTTTATCATTGACCTTGTTTTGTTTAATCAAGGTCAATGATATGTGTGTGTGTGTGTGTGTGTGTGTGTGTGTCCTCAGTGAAGTGTATCAGTCTCTGCAGTAGCTTCCAGCTGCAGCAGTCAGTTCAGTTTCTGTTCAGCTAGCATAGTAAATGAGGAGTTTAGGAGTTTCTCCATCTCTCTGTTGGTACCAGGCTAAAAGGTGGTAGTTGCTCCAAAAACGAACATCCTGACTGGTCCTACATTTGATGGAGACGGAGCCTCCCAGAGCAGAGCTCACTGCTCCAGGCTGAGTCACTGTGACCTGGCCTCTGGACTCTGAGGATACAGAGACAAAAACATAAAGCAGCGTCATGGTTTTGTGGGCTTCATTTCAGAGGGATGAATGTTCATAGAGGAGAGGAGTTTGATTCTCTGGACTTTACCTGTGAAGCAGCAGCAGAGGAGAGTCCAGATGAGGACGCAGATCAAAGTCATGTTTTTGATGAGGAGGATTTCTGTGGCTTCTGTTGTCATGAAGGACAGCTGTCAGTCATCCAGTGTTCAACTCTCAGGACTATAAACTCTCCCAGAGCACTGGAGCATGGTGCTGCTGATGCAAAGTGGCTCTCTATGGAAATGCTCTGACTGACTCCAGCAGGGACTTGGATTACTCTGATGATTCTGTCTAGCAATGGATCAATACTCACATTTTGTGTCTGATATTTAAAATGTGATGTGTTCACAGGGACATGTTGTTTATTTGTTTTTTGTTTTATCAGTTAGTTTGAAAATGTCACGCTCTGCCGGTTGGCCATCCTTGGTGTTGCACTTTTGTGTTTAGTTAGTGTTATTTTGGTCTGTTGGGTTTTGGGGGTCTGTCTTGTCTTTCGTCTAGTGTTCGGTAACCCTTGTCATGTCTGTTACCCCAGTGATCCCTCTGCATGTCTGTCTCTGTTTTCCCCTGCGCTCTCTCTCTCTCTCTCTCTCTCTCTCTCTCTCTCTCTCTCTCTCTCTCTCCCTACCTGTGCCTCGTTAGCCTCATGTCTTTCACCTGTGTTGCTCCCGCCCTGCTCGTTAGTCCCTGTGTATATATACCTGGTGTTTCTGTCTTGTCTTTGCCTGGTTATTGTTCATGTTACCCCCCATCTGTTGTGTGTTTACTCTCTGCCTGCCTGTAACCAGCCTTGCTTGTCTTGTCTCCCTGTACTTTTGGATTTTGTTATTCAGCCACTCACCTGTAAGTGTGCTCGCTTTTGGTTATATTAAAACCCTTCGTTGAACTATACCTGCTCGGCTCTGTGTCCTGCGTTTGGGTCCTCCAACCTGCCTCCACACCACGATCGTGACAGAAAAAGTAGTTCAGTAGTTAACATTGTCATTTTAATATTTCATTGTTGATTCTTAGGTACATGAAATGGACAAACATACCATCCAGCCACCCAGGAGGTTTTTGCTTGAGACAGGAAATATTTAAGACAGTTAAAACAATAAAAGCCTTACAGTCTTCACTATATGTGAAATATTTAATTAAAGAATAAAGAAAATACATAAGAGGAAAACTGTGCCTGTTACTACTTTTTATCTTTAGTCCTGAAAACCATCTGTTGTCATGGTTCAGCAGTGATGCCTATCGGTTGCCATGGTTACTGAGTTCAGAGAGGGAAATGAAACCAGTTTCATCCAATCTGAGGAAGATCGACACACTAGCAGCCTCCTCTCCTCCTTTCATACAAGTGTTCTCATGTTAGGCTCTGTCACTTTAAGAGGGTAACCTCTGACCCTGAGGTGTGACTATGGCTGTGTCCGAAATCCCCACTCATTCACTACTCCCTACCCCCTATGTAGGGAGTTGTATGCATTAAATAGTGAGCTCACTCGCATTGTTAAAACACTTTCGGACACTACCCCGATCGTTATTTCAGCGCCGTTAATTACGTAATTGCCGTCGGCCAATCAGTTTTTCTATTAGCGGAATGCATGATGGTATATATGGCTTGGTTAGTGACTATCGGTTGTACACTACTTTTCAAAATGCATTCTGGGATACATTGAGTGGACTATATAGGGTATAATAACTCTCACTATATAGTCCACTATAGTGAGTAGTGGGTGATTTTGGACACAGGGACAGGGATATATGTTTCTTATGATCGCAGGATCTCTGGATCTCTGGAATGTTTCCAGAGATCTACTGGATCTCTACTTCTGACTCGCAAGGAAAACCTTTTGCAAAACTATTTAACTTGCAAAACATTCTGACTCACAAGGAAAATATTTTGTCTTCAAAGAGGACATATTAGCAATCAGAACTTTTCTGTGACACAAAAAAAGGCCTGTTTATTTTTAATTACAAACTTTTTATTGCAGTGCGATAAATATGCTCTCAAAAAATTTTTTTGTTTGCTTGCATTAAAAAGACAAAAAACCTTATTACTTATACAAGCCTTTTCCTAACGTGTTATCCAAAATGATTTATCCAGAGCAGAAGGGGCATCAGAGGCAGGACAGATCTAAGTCTGATAAGAACTGTGCTCTATAATATTTTCATTTTTAGGCCTCCCATGGCTCTGTGGATGGAAATGTTGGTCAGTCCACTACTTTGGTCCATATGATGGATTGTAGTGAAATTTTGTACAGAAACTTTGGTTGACCTTTCCTCCTCCGCCACCAGCAGGTCAATGTTTTCTTATTCTGTTAAATTCTCATTGCTTACACCATGTGGTCATTGAGAAAGCACTAACATTCAATATTGTTCACTCAATCAGTACAGATTGAGCTCAGTTGACCCTTCTACCACATCCCCCGACGATTGAGACAAAAGCCAACAATATGAACAACAACAACACTGTTCCTGTCAAGCTGGGTAGGCTGGGTTGTCCTCTATTCATTATTACATTAAAAAGCAGAACAGTAGGGCTTTATAACGTTACATTCAGTAGGAAGTTAGCTAGCGTTAGCTAACTAACATAAGGAACAATCCATAGCCAACATTTTTCTGGATTTATTTCAGGTTTTGGAAAGAGAGTAAATCGTACTTCTCCTTTCAACCTCTCTGGGTTGCGACTGTAATTATTACAAGGGCCCCAGCGTTTGACCATATCTTAGAAAAATACAGCCAAAAAAAGCTAGAAAACAACTCCTTTTGCATTAGAGTCAATGGAGCGCAGCCATGAAAGTTTCGGACCTCAGTTAGAGAGAGTCCTATACTGCGCTGTGATTGGCCAGCTGCGTATTCGGGCCGTGGCTTAGCGAAGGGTCAATTAGCAAACAGTTACCCAGGTGGAAACACAAGGAAGAGGAAGAAGATCAGTATGGAGAAGATGAAGAGGTGAAGGAAGAGGAGGAACAGTAGGAGTTAGAGGAGGAGAAGGGATAGGGAGGAGGAGGAGGAGGAGTTTCTGAGGGCTTGTGTGTCATGTCTGAGGTCAAAGTTTGGTTTTTCTGCAAGATTGAATGGTATTAAGTGGAGAGCTTCATTTTGACCTGAAAATAGGATGTTTGGGAAATTGGTTGAGCAGTTGTGGATTTGTGTTTAGAGTTTTGAGAAAAAGAGGCATAATTTTAAGAAATGTGTTTAAGCAATCGAGAAAAACTGTAATAGTGAGAGAGGACTTGTTTACTTTAGTATCACGTACCCACGTACAATCTTTCCCTAACCTTTTGGATGTTTTATTCAGGATGTGAATCCATATTTCTAGTGTCAAAGTGCTGTGCTTTGTTCACCAACCACCCACCCTGATCATCTGCCTGTGCCGTCCAGAAACGTAACCCTTTCTACACGATTCCTATAGAGTCACAATTGTGAATATTTACCTCTTTTCTCAGTTTTTTATCTTTTGGTTTGGGACTGAAAAAGATATTCAGCAAAGTCAACTCTGGTAAAATTGGATGAACATTTTTCTATATTGTCTGAAGTTTCATTGACTAAACCATTGATCTGAGACAATAATCACTAAATGAATCGATAACAAAAATAACATTAGCCTGTTGAAAACAGATGCCATCAGTACCGGGGAAAACGGTGCTGTGGGCGAAATTACTGATTGAAATTATTTTTTTGCCTTTTTAAACTCGCCGATGTTGTAGCTTCGATTCTAAGTGGGCGCCATCTTGATTATTGCACAAATACCTGCAAACTGTCTGCCTGCAATCGACATTTCTGCAGAGAGGAAATATAGTGGTGCAGTGGTTAGCACTGTTGCCTCATAGAAAGAAGATTGTGGGTTTAAACCCTGGTTGCCCTGGCTTCCTCCCACTGTCCAAAGACATGCATTTTAGAATAATTGGTGTCTTTGAAATTGTCCTTGTGTGAGTGGTTGTTTGTCTATGTGTGGCACTGTGATGGACTGGAGACCTGTCCAGGGTGTACACTGCTTTTGCCCAGTGTAAGCTGGGATTGGCTCCAGCCCCCGAAACCCTGTACGCAGGATAAGCGGTTGACGATGGATGGATGGAAATTTACATGTAAAGGATACTGAAAAGTTATTAGTAAACTAATCAAGTGATTTGTAACTGTTATGTTTTGTCTTTCTATTTTGGGAAAGTTGTGTTTTCGATAAGTGACATGAATATTGACGTTCAAGACATTTATTTGTCCCTGAGGGGAAATTAGTTTTGCTGCAGTAGCAAAGAAGTTAACACACAGTACATAACAACAAAGACGACAACATCAATTAAAAATACAGGGTCAGACCAATGGGTAAATGAATACCACAACATTAAAAGTTTAAGTTCAAGTCAGCCTTATGTGCAGACGTTACCTATTCTTTACAGAGTTAAGCAGATAAATAGCAGAGGGTACGAAGGTGAATTTATATCGATATGTTTTGGCTGGTGGTTGACTGAAGCGGGAACCAGAAGGCAGCATCTTAAATTCTGCATGCAGGGGGCGAGAACTATCAGACATGATGGATTCTGCCTTTTTAAGCACATGTCTATTGTACAGTTCAGTTAGTTTTAACTTTATTTACCATTGCTAATGTGTTTTTCGGTTTTAAACTTAGAGAAGCATACCAGCAAATACATGAAAAAGTAAAGACGGACTCAATAAAAGATTTATAAAACAATGTCATCAGGGATCTGTCCAATAGACACTTAGTTAGCTTTCTCAGACAGAAAAGACATTGCTGACTTTTCTTACTCAGCATATCTGTGTTTAGTTCAAAGGTCAACTTGTTATCAATGATGATTCCCAGATACTTATATGACTCAACAATTTCAACCTCTTTACCATCTATAATCGTCTTTTCAGGAGTTGGATGGTGACGTCTAATCTAGTTGGACTGTCAAATCAAACAATA